GTGAGATCTAAAACCTGCAGGACACCGGCCCTTGTGGACTGGGATTGGGGACCCCTGCTTTAGAGTTACCAGTTAACCCATCCCCACTAACTGCATGTGTTTGGACTGTGGGAGGAAGCCGGAGTACCTGGAGAGAACCCACAGTTTATCACCTGTTCAGGTTATTTACTAGATTTGAGGCAGGTGACACACACACACACACACACGCACACTTCACAATAATGCTTGAACCTTCCAGCAGAAATATTAGCAAACACAAAGAAATCAATATTTGAAAACACGCGTGAGTAAACAGACGTCAATGGTTTTGGTCGAGCAAAAACATTTTGGACGTTTGGATATCAATTACCACAAAATCAATAATGAGTGTTTTAAAACTGTTTTCATTATAAAAACAACCAAACCATCCAATAATCAACAAGCACCAACATCTCATCTCCTCCCGGGATCTTCGCTTGTTAGAAATGGTTAAACCACTACACCGTGTAGCCGCTGTTACACACATTTAAAAGCTTCATTTATTACATTTACAGGTAGGTGCCCTGCAGGTTAAAGGTCAGGTTACAGATCTATTTATACTATCAGAAGCGAGCAGCTGTGGTTTGGGCTCTCTGATTTCTGTAAGCCTGAAAAGATGAAACTCAGCGACACCGAGGTCGTTTCTGAGTCAAGACTGCAGTGAGGCCAGGGCCCTCAGGTGCTAGCACACCGTCAGAGGCTGTGGTGGTGGCTTCACGTGCTGCTGGTAATATCACACAGCGCCACCTCAGCCTGACACAGGAAGAGAACAAGTCAGAACCAGACGTTTTCAAACTGTCAGCCTCTCCCGCCGTGTCTCTGCTGATCTCTGCGCTTCTGTACCGACACGTCGCTACAGTCGTGGCTTCAGCACAGTGCTAACCTGCACACTGCACCAGGTTACCACAACCAGAAAAATAACTTGCACGAGCATCTGGAGTGACCGAGGTGCAGGTGTTAAAGTGCTGTCATGGGCTGTGATTAGGGCTGCCACAAACGATTATTTTGATAGTCGACTAATCAGATCATCATCCATTGGAC